GAGGTGATCATCAACGTCGGCGACTGTCTGCAGCGCTGGACCAACAAGCAGTTGCGCTCGGCCAACCATCGCGTCTGTCTGCCTCAGGGGACTGATGTGCACTCCACCGCGATGCTGGCCCCTCGGTACTCGGTGGCTTACTTTGGGAAACCGGATCGTGAGGTGCTGGTCGACACCCTGCCGGCGTTCGTGCGGCCCGGCATCAAGTCGGCGTACAATGATCATCTGACTGCGCTGGAATATATGCAGCAGAAACTGGTTCGCACTTATGGCTGAGGCTTTGTTGGAATCCGGTAGCAGGGTAGTTAGGAGGAGTACAGCGCAAGTGTAGTGGTGCGATAGTGAATTTTTCGAGTTTGTGTTTTATGATAGTATTGTTCATTTTCCCGTCCATTCCGGTTTCTATAAAGGGCTCTACATTATCATGTCGGCTGTAGCTTGACAACAGGGACTTGTAGCACACTATATGGGGTCATATCAGATTCAAGAATACCGCGCGAATGGAATCTGAAACATGAATACTGAAAATATATGGTTGCCTCTAGAAATAGAACCCCTTCACCCCAGCTCTCCTCAACCAATGATGATTTCTCGGAATCGACTGTGACCAAGGTCGGTATTGGAGATTCTTTCACTGTGTTCCACGGTGCTCTTCACATCCAGGTTTGCCCAAGGCTGATCGGTAACGCGCACAGATCGATTCTGTGTAACTGGAGCATTAGCATAATCAGACCCACGGAAGTAGTACCAGATCAGGTGGGAGTGTCTAACCTGGATCATGGATAGAAGTGTCGCATAAATGGCCTCATCTTTACCTACACCCACCCCAACACCCCAAGAACTCTCGGGACCATCTCCAACAACGCAGTGTGCGAATGTGACCAGCAAGCCCTGCTGCCGCTCGTCGGGAAGGGGGTGGAAGGCGGCCATCTGGCACCGGAAGGGCAGCTGCAGAGCCTGAGACATGAGGGTTGCAATCCGACTCGCCTCGTCCGAGCTATCCTCCAGCTCGTGCGGGCAGGCGGGATGCTGGAACAGCACGCCGAAGCCCTGTTGCTGTTGTCCAAGGATGCGTGCACGGTAGGAGGCGTCGTGGTCGTAGGATTCTAGAAACAGCGCGCAGACCTCCTCGGCAGCCAGACCTCGTTCCCATGCAACGGACTGTGTCTTGACGATACGACTGAAATGCGCTGCCAACTCGCCGGGCAGGCTCAAGCCGAGTCCCTGCTGGATGAGCCAGGCCACGCCCCCTTTGCCGCTCTGGCTGTTCACGCCGATCACGCCGTCGAAAGAGATGCCCAGATCGGCCGGGTCGAGGGGCAAGTACGGCACCCGCCACGCACTCCGCGACGGGTTGGCGGCGCGCCTGCTCAACCCCTTGCGGATGGCATCCTGATGGGCCCCGGAGAAGGCTCGGAAGTAGTAGTCGCCGGAGTACGGGGTGCGCGGGTGGACGGGCAGCTGCGTGACCTCCTCGTACACGCGCCGGATGGCCGGCAGGTCCGACAGGTCCAGGCCCGTCTCGATGCCCTGCGTGAAGTAGTTCATGGCCGCCGTCACGAGATCGAGGTTGCCGGCGCGCTCGCCGTTGCCAAACAGACACCCTTCGACACGATCCCCACCAGCCAGACACGCGAGCTCGGCGGCGGCGACGGCGCCCCCGCGGTCATTGTGCGTGTGGATCGAGATGCAGACCGTGTCGCGGTCCCGGAGGTGCCGCGAGAAGTATTCGACCTGGTCGGCGAAGACGTTGACGGTGGTGGCCTCGACGCTGGAGGCGAGCCCTAAGATGACGGGCTGCTCGGGGGTGGGTTTCCACGCCGCCTGGATCGTCGCCGCCAGACGGAGGGCCGCCTCGGGGCGCGCATTCGCAAAGTCCTCGAAGCCGAACCCCAGCGTCCACTGCGTGCCCTGCGCCTCCGGGTCGTCTTTCGTGATCGACCGCGCGTACTCGATGCACTCCGTCACCCGCGCCAACCACTCCGTCTCCGCCGGCTGCTGCAGGATGGTCTCGCAGTAGTTGTCGCTGGTCGCGAGGTAGGTGAAGAGAATGGCCTTCTTGGCCCCCTTGAGGCTCTCGACCGCGCGCTTGAGCGTCTCCTTCCGGCAGGGAGTCATCACTTCCAGACTGACATCTGGCGGCACCGCCCCGGGGGTCTCCACGAGCTCCCGCGTGAAGTTGAACTCGGTGTCCGAGGCACAGGGGAAGGAAACCTCGATCTCCTTGAACCCGATGGCGACCAGAAGGCGGAACATCTGCCATTTCTGCTGGATTGTCTATATGCATGGTCATGGCATGGCGGATTAGCTTTCGTCCGCTTCCTAAAACCTCTTCCTTAGACGGGGAATCTGGGTTTCGTGCGCACCATGGGGTTGGGAAGAGCTTGATTGCCATCTCGAAGATCGGTTGATAGCCAAATGGGGGACTTGGTCAACTTCCTGGATGGCCATTGTCGGTCAGGGAGGTGGACGTGGGGAGGATCCCGGCCGCCATACTTGCTCTGTAGGCTTTGGCCGCCCGCACAGGTTGTCGACATTTGGGGGTTCTGCGTTGGCTGCGTTGGCCTTAGCTTTGACCGGCTGGACATCTGGGTCGCTGCCAAACTGGTTACATTCTTTTCTTCTATGGGGTGGGGATCGCGGTTCTTTTCTTTGCACATGGCCTGGGAGCGAGGCACTGCAGAACCGGGCTAGGGCTTACCAAGCGCCAGTCATCGTGGCTGTCTTCCCCCACCACGTGTGATAAAAGGTTCAAAGGGGTCCCGAGTAGATGAGGTGCCATATGAACGGTACTAATCATCTCATCTGACCCTATGTTCATTTATTTCTGTGTTGGGTTGAGTACTTCATTTGAAGACATCTTGCTTAGTCAGGGGTGCATTTCCCGCTGTAGGCTACACCACCAGCTATTCTGCTTGACTCATCGGTAAGCACATCCAGGCCAGTTATGTATAGTGGACTGGCAGCCACTGTCCCATTGGACTACTACTTATTGTTGTAGACCGGAACAGTATTTATCTTTTTGCCAAACTGTGACCGGCCGATCGCGAATGAGCCTTGCCGCGATCGTCGACCGGCGGAGACAATGTCTGAGAAGCCCTAATGAGCATTCTTCCCCGTCACACGTCTACTTGATAAACATCGCTTTTTACTGCTTTTGCGTCTTCAGCGGCACCGCACACAATTGCTCTTACATCTCACCAGTAGTCCCAGTTACTCCCGTGACAATGGTCAAAACACATGATATCGTGGTGTTCCCAGGCGACTACGGAGGTCCCGAGGTGATGGCTGAAGGCCTGAAGGTACATTGCCCCCGGAACCAGTGGTCTGTCCGCGAGGCGACAGGACTGATAGTGAGATACCTCAGGTTCTAGGAGAGATCCAAAGGCAATACCAGACGAGGGTCACACTGAACCTTAAACATCATGTTCTCGGCGGAGTATGTTTGCCTCCTACTCCACCCTTACGGTGAGTGAGAATGTCACCACTAACGAGTCACGTTGCGGAGATGGAATAGGCGGCCTTTGATGCGTATGGCACGCCTGTAACCGAAGAGGCCCTGCAAGATGCACAGAGCGCATCGGCGGTTCTTCTAGGGGCTGTGGGTGGTCCGGTATGTGAGAGAGGTCCCATCATCGACGCGAAAGGAATCCATAGGAAGGACGCCTGACACTGACGCGATAGGACCCTTTCCACAGGCGTGGCAAGGGAGTCCGATCCCCGTCGAATCCGGCTTAGGCAGACTGCGCAAAGCCATGGACGCGTTTGGCAACCTGCGACCAATCAACTTCATTGCGCCCGTCTTGATCGAGTCGTCCAGTCTGAAGGAGCGCGTGTGCCGGGGCGCGGATCTCCTCATCGTCCGCGAGCTCAGCGGCGGCATCTACTACGGGGATCGTCAGGAGCATGACGGGACCTTCAACGTGGCCTCGGACCTCGACCACTATGACCGGCACGCCATCGAGCGTGTCACACGACTGGCTGCCCGACTGGCCCGCGCGACAGATCCCCCTTTGCCCATCACGAGCCTGGACAAGGCCAACCTGCTGGCTGCCTGTGGCCGACTCTGGCGCGGCGTCGTGGAGCAGACCATCCGCACCGAGTTCCCCGACCTGACTCTGCGGCATATGCTCATCGATACGGCGGCCATGACCCTGGCGTGCCGGCCGACGACGCTGAATGGCGTCGTTCTGACGAGTAACATGTTCGGTGACATTGTGAGCGACGAAGCCAGCGCCATCCCCGGCAGTTTGGGGCTGCTTCCTAGTGCGAGCCTCTGTGCGATTCCTGACCCTGATAAGGGCGATGGAGTGCGCGGCATCTACGAGCCTGTTCACGGTAAGGGTCCTCCTCTTGTATGCGACAGGCTCTGTTCCGCTGATGTCAGTTATGCGGCTCAGGATCCGCCCCCGACATTGCGGGTAAAGGTATCATTAACCCGACGGGGATGATCCTGTCGGTCGCCATGATGCTCCGCTACTCGCTTGAGATGCCGGATGCAGCTACAGCTGTCGAAACGGCCGTTAAGGAGGTCATTGAACGGGGGTGCCGGACAAGAGATGTCGGTGGCACGGCCTCTACGGCGGAGTTCGGCGACGCAGTCGTGGCGTATTTGGAGGATCATGCGTGAGGCGAGTCGATTGTGCCATGCCTCTCTCTGTACTTGCGGCAGATCTATCCATATATCCATCACAGAATTGAAAGTATGCCGCTTGTTCGGGACCAGAAGCAAGAGTGGTCGTAGCCATCCTGCCACACACGCAGCATGTCCAAAATAGGGTTGAGTGGAACAACCAGCATCACAATCATCTTAGCTTCTAAAACCTAATAGAAGACTGGAATTAAACCAACCAAAGAGAATCTGTGCGACTACATCTCTTGTAAATGTAAGCAAAGTGGGTAATTCCTTGACGCCAACCCCTCCTCCACCGCGTATATGAAAAGCCCAAGCCCCGCCCCGCAAAGCTACTAAGTATTATCGAATCTCGCACAATCACACAATGTCTACTCCAGGACTTAGGTTGAGCTTACAAGATCAAAGTCTGCCCGAAGACGGACGGGGCTTCGTGCGCGCGGTGGTAAAGCTTCTGGCCGACACCCGTGGGATTCAACTAGAGGAATGCAGCATTCAAGAACGACAGCCCGGCTCGACCCTCTGGTACCTGACTTGCCAACCACCGACCATCCCTCTTGACTCCGATATTTTGATTATCTCCACTCCTGATGACTTTTTCACCCATCTCGCCGTCGAGCTCGACGCCCGCGGCCGTTCTGCAGACGCATCGACCCTACGGTATGTCCTCGACCTGTGCCACACCGAGACCGAGCGCGGGGGGTTGGGATTCCCCGATTTCCCAGTTGTCGACTGGTCGCTCAATCAGACACAGCGACAGGGGCTGCAGGGCCTTCTAGAGGCCTGGCTGGAATCGCTGAACTCCGCCGAAAGGGCCCGAGGTCTGCCCTCTCCCCTGTCCGTCAAAGCCTCGTCCACGCGACCCATGACGCTGGCGGAAAAGATCCTGGCGCACCACGCCTTCTCGCTGCCGTCAGCCGAAGGCTTGAGAGGGGGTGACTTTATCCGTGTCACGGTCGACTGGATCATTGCCAGTGAGCTATCATGGGTGGTAGGTTGCTTCTTTATCCTCTCCCCTACCCCGAGCCCTATCCTCACAGGGTCAAGTGAAGATCGGCAGTTCGCAGAGCAGCTGATCCGGCCAAAACCCACAATCCTCTAGGGCATGAAACACAGTATGACCAGCATCGGGGAAGAGCCGACGGTTTGGCGAAATGACCGGTTCTGGCTGGCGGGCGATCACACGGTGGATCCCCGGACGTACCACCAACCGCGGGTCCGGGAATTGATTGATGGCATGCACGATGCGAAGACGAGGTTCAAGATGACGGAGAACCAAGGCTCAAATGTTTGCTGCCTGTCTGCTCTGCCTGAGGATCGTGGCGTGGCTGACGGCAACCCTCCTGTCTTTAGTTTACGATCCTGCATACGGAATTTGTGCGCGAGCGAGCCGAGCCGGGAATGCTCGTCCTGGGCTCAGACTCACACACCTGTTCTGCAGGCGCCGTCAGTTCCCTCGCTATCGGACTCGGTGCGGCGGATGTGATGGCGGCGCTGGCCACCGGGGAGACCTGGATCAAGACCCCGGAGTCGATCCGCGTGGAGTTCGTGGGCGCACCGGCGTGGTATATCCGGGGCAAGGACGTGATCCTCTACATATTGAAAACCCTCAAGCGCAACACCCATGCCGCGGATCGGATTGTGGAGTTCGGGGGGCCGGGGGCGCGCTATCTGTCCTGCGACGCTCGGTTCGCCATCTGTAACATGTGCACCGTAAGGTCTTCTGGGTATCTAGCTCTGTGTGCGTGTCCAGTGACTAACGCAAAGAGACGGAAATCATAGGAACTCGGTGCCATTACGGGCCTCTTCGTCCCGGACGAGGTCACCAGCCAATTCATCTCGGATCGGCCCCAGGCCCGCTACAGAACACAGTCGCTGTACTTCCAACCGGACGCTGATGCTTCTTATGCTGCAACCTTCCGGATCAATCTGGAGGAGGTCGAATCCTTCATTGCCCTCTACCCGTCCCCGGACAACGTCGTGCCCGTGACGGAGAAGCTCGACATGCGCTTCGAGGGCTGCTTCATCGGCGCGTGCACTACCACCGAGGAAGATCTAATTCTGGGCGCCTTGGTCATGGAAGCAGGCCTGCAGAAGGGGCTGCCGCTAGCCCGCGGGAAACGGATGGTGGTTCCCGGCAGTCTACCGATCGTGAGCAACCTGCGCGCTTTGGGGCTGTTGGATATCTATGCCCAGGCTGGGTTTATACTGCCCGCCGTGAGCTGCAGTCTGTGCCTGGGGATGGGGGCTGACCGCGCGGGGTCGGGCGAGAATTGGCTGTCGTCGCAGAACCGTAATTTCAAGAACCGAATGGGTCCAGGTGCGTCTTCGTCTCTCGGGACAAGGAGAAGGAAACAAGCTGATCAAGTCTGATCTGACCTTTCCTTTCAGGATCTACCGGCCATATTTGCTCCGCTGCTGTCGTTGCGGCCTCGTCCTTCAGCATGCAGTTGACCGACCCTCGTCCTCTCCTGCGTCAGGTGTCGGTCGAGAGGTATCAGACCCTACTTGCCAGCTGTCGACGCATGAAGGCTGAGCCGCGGGGGAAATTGCGCGAGCGTCTCAAGGCCAGCACAAACCCAGTCGTCTCACCCCCGATGCCCCCCGTGGTCGAGCCTTACTTGTCCGTTCGCAAGACTACTACTCCGTCGACAACGACGTCCATCTCAGGGCTGGAACAAGAGAAGCCGCACAGCGCACCAGCGCAAGTCATACGCAGCGGGGTCTCGAGGTTGGGGGATTTCGTAGATACTGACGCGGTAGGTTCGCGTTTGCGCGAGTGGACGAAAAGGCTATGGCTAACGGAGCGTGGACAAGATCATCCCTGCAGCATTCATTCTGGAGAGTCCGACCGACGTCCTGCTCGGGAGTCATTGCTTGGAGCTGACTCACCCCGAGTTTCGCGACCAGGTTCGCGCTGGTCTGGATGTCGTCGTCGCCGGGAAAGCGTTTGGCTGTGGTTCGTCGCGAGAAGAGGCGCCACGAGCGTTGAAAGGTACGTCTTGCGAGATCGATGGAGTAGAGGGAAACAGAAGGCAGTGGCTCTAACGGATGTGATGTTGCAGGTCTCGGGGTGAAATGTGTGATTGCACGATCGTTCTCCTTCATCTATGGACGCAACCAGCCCACCATCGGCCTCCTCGGCCTCACCATCACCGACGACGACTTCTACGCGGCGGCTCAGACCGGGGTGGCGATTGAGATTGACCTGCCCCGTCGACAGGTCACCCTGAGTGACCGATCGTACCCGTTTGTGTTGGACGAGATGGAACTGGCCTTGATTCAGCGACAAGGGCTGGCGGCGGCGTACAAGATGTTTGGCAAGACTGTTTTCCAGTCGCTCTGCAACGACACTGGGTCGGAGACAGTGCCAGCCTCTGCGCTGGCCGAGATGCATCTTGGACGCCGTCAGGCTGAAAAGAGAGGCAATCAGGAGGTGCTGGCATGGTGAAGTCGATCTTTCCTGTCTCTGTTCCTTAGCTCGGTATCTCAATCTATTATTCGCCATGTCGACAACAATGGAAGCTGTGAGCGAGGTAGCATCCGTGTAGATTTGAGGTATCTGAAGCCAAAACCAATCCCTGGCTGCGTGCAACATTTAATCAATGCCAATTTGTTCCGTACATATCAATAGACGCCAATAAAAACCCGACCCAACGAGAATGTGCGTTGTGAACCGACTCAGTCTCCACATCTTCAATTCCAATCCGTCATCGTAACTCAAGTAATCGTTTCATATGAAGCAAAGAGAGGACCTCGGTATAATTCGTGCTCGTAATGTTCGTAATCGTCCTGCGATATCGTGTTCGGTGCGATGAGACAAGGTCTCGTTCTATCTGTTGGTAGTCATTCATCAGCGAGATCTGCTCGGTGGGTGTCGCACAATGAGACCGGGGCTTGATACCTTGGAGAACTCTAGACGTCCCTTACCCCCATCCCCCGATGTCCCTTCTCCATGCCCTGCAGAGCATGGAACATATCCTCCCGGTTCCGCAGTCGGACCTCTCGCATGTATGAGGCCTGCTCCGGGGTCATCCCCGGCAACCCAGGCCCGTCGAAGCTGTCGCCTCCGTACAGTCGAGCCAAGGCGTATCCTATGAAGACAAACACCACACATCCGCAGATGACGAGAAAGACAATCAACTCGTGTGACGGATTCCACCCCATTCTGAATTTCTGCTACACTCTGCCAGTGTGGTCGTGTAGTGTGGGAGAGAGCTTTGGACCTGCCGAACGGATGTGGCGGGGGTTAGCCGGACACACGCTCCTTTGATATGATATATTCCCATGCCTATGATTCTGCGTCCCATGTACAAATCTAATTTCATCGCGAGGACAGTCTTTCCCCATTGGTTGCCATCGGGTCTGCAAACCTACTGATGCATATACGACTTCTGCGGCGATATGCATGTCAGGGCTTGGTTTTGCTGCGTGCGGGGTTGTGATTGGGGAGATTTTCTTCTCATCAGCGACCGTGACGTCATTAGCGAACCGGCCAATCAAATGCTGCAGATACCCCTGGCTCGTTTCTCGGCATTGTTTACTGAGTGGCAGGTAAGTGCTATTCATAGGCCCTGCATCCGGCCGTTCTCTTCCTCATCTTGCTCGCAACGGGTGCGTCGAGTCATGAAACATTGGCTGACCTTGACAGAATTTGTCTCCTCGCTTGTGTTCCTATGTCCTGGGACGCAGTAGAGCCGCTACGCTTGTCTTTGCAATCAGAGAATTTTATGACACGTGCAGAGCGAAGTGGGTCGGGTATCTCAAGCATCTAGACACTCTATCTACGATAACGGGGAGTTATTCACAATGACAGCGAGCATCTAGACAGCTGGAGAAGAGAAAGAAGGGGGGTAGGAGAAGAAGAAGAGGTGGGGGCGGTGGTCTCATCGACCAAATCCAAGACAAGGCTGACAGGTCCAAACCACTCAACATTCTAGACCGAACGACGCGACGAGCCTAGACTAAGTCCGGAGTAGTGAGGCGAGGATTTTAGGCTGTCATTCAGTGTCACGCTCTGACTCCGTAGCGCGCGCCACGCGCCGCCGCTCCGACGCTCACTCCTCCACACTCTCCTCGGCACTCTTTTAGATCCGGTCTTGAGTTTCCAACGGTAGAGGCACAGTTGAATCTCGATCTACATAGCATATATTTATTCCACTATGATTCGTCGTTGAGTGAATTCCGCGACGGGGGTACCTGGGCTGGCGATCCGGCCAGTGGGTGGATTGGTGGGTTGGAGTTAGGGCACGATTGCACATGGGGTGCCCCTGACGAGCCTGGCGAACCTCTCTCTTCTCCATCAGGTCGACCTATAACCATCTTTCTCTTCTTTTCTGGTCTTCTGTTTGTTAGAACTGGTTCCCACTCTCCTCCTACTCATCACTATCCTTCAGTCAGTCGGTCATTCTCTCTTTTCTCCCAAAGAAGCACTTTCATTGTACTACACGCTTCAGCGTCATTCACTCGTTTCACGACCTCTCCTTTTCACGCCACTCGCTTTGCCCTAAGCCACGCTCGATCTACAGTCCACAGTGAACACCATGTCGACAAACAGCACCACGACCGATACCAGCACCTTTGTGTGCACCCTCCAGACATGCAGTCTCGACTATGCCATGATCCACTACATCCCCTCGCTGGCCGGGAACGCGCTCTTCCTGGCGCTCTTCTGCGTGGCAGCAGTGATTCATCTGTTCTTGGGGGTGTGGCACCGCACCACCAGCTACCTGGTGGCGGTGATGGGGGGGCTGCTGCTGGAGATCATTGGCTATGCGGGGCGCATCGGCCTGCACGACGACCCCTTTTCCTTCAACGCCTTCCTGCAGTACCTGATCTGCCTCACCCTAGCGCCCGCCTTCATCTGCGCCGCAATCTACCTGTGCTTCGGCCGCGTGGTGATCGAGTACGACGCCCGGTGCTCGCGCCTCGCGCCCGCCACGTACTCGAAGGTCTTCATCGCCTGCGATCTCGTGTGTCTGATCCTGCAGTCTGCGGGGGGCGCCATCACCTCCACCGCCGGCACAAACAACACCAGCCTCAGAGACCTCGGCATCGACATCATGATCGCCGGGTTGGCGTGCCAGGTCGTCTCGTTGGTAGCCTTCATGGCGTTGGCAGGCGACTTCGCTCTCCGACTGCGCCGGCACCAGGGCCAGGGGTCAGCCTCGCTGCTGCCCGTGGACTGGCACGCTGGCTGGAAATGGAGGGGGTTTCTGATCGGTTCGTTTGCTTGCCCTGCTCCTCTCCCATACACCTAGCCACCAACTAAGCTTCTTGCAGGTCTGGTCGTCGCAACCACAACCATCTTCATTCGCTCGTGTTTCCGCGTCGCCGAACTGAAGGGGGGATTCGGGAGCGCCCTCGCAAACGACCAGGTAGCGTTCATGATCCTCGAAGGTGTGATGATGATCCTGGCCTGCGGCGCCATGACGGCGCTTCATCCCGGACTGGTCTTTTCGCGTGAGCGCTGGAATGCCTCCGCGCAGCAGCAGCTGAAGTTGCATCAGGTCGAGAGTCGCTCCAGTCAGATAGAGATGATACAGCGCTCGGGTGTATAGTCCCTTCTCTTTAGTTTGGTGGATTGTGCTAGGAAGGTTTGAAAATGATGGATTTAATGATGTCTCAAGACACCACCGCGTCTGTAACTCTATGTCCTCTATCGTAGAATTCTCTCCCAAGACCTCCCACAAACCCTCCACTCCGCACCTCAGCCATCAGCCATCAGTCCCGCCGACGCACACGCAGACAGAGCTGTGCACTCGGCCTCGCCGTGCCAACCTGCACCTCCTTCTCCGGCCCCTGATCGATCGGCTCCACCTCGTAGTGCCGCACCAGATACGCCAGCATGAGCTTCATCGTCTGGGCCGCGAAGAACCGTCCCGGGCAGGCATGCCGCCCGTGCCCAAACACCAAGAAAGCATCGGTCGTCGTCGCGATCGACAGCGCTTTTTTGCGATTCTCCTCCGAATCACTAAATCGAAAGGGATGGAAGGTCAATGGATCGGCGTAGTTGAGCGGGTCGCGGTGGATGGCATGCGCCGGCACACACACGCGCACGCCCCGCGGGAGATGCAACAGCCCCTGGTCGAAGTCCACTCCCGCGGCTGGCGCCACCATGCGCGGCACCGCGATGTACGAGAGGTCTGAGACGCGCATCGATTCCCGGATCGTCGAGTCCACGCGCACCAGTCGGTCCAGGCCGGCTTTGGTCCATTGGTCTGGCTGGGGGTGTTGCTGAGGCTGTGGCTGGGGCGATGCGTTCTCTTCGCGCCAGACGCGCTCGCATTCCTCGCGGAGCTGCGCCACGAAGGTCGCGCAATCCGGGGCAGAGTACAGGTCGATCACTGTGTGGGTGATGGACATGGCCATGGTTTCGATGGCCACGAAATTCAGCATCAGCAGGCGCTGCGTGATCAGCCGCGGGTCGATCTCGCGCGGGTCGTCGCGTTTCACGCACTCCTCGAGGAGCCATTGGAGTCCGTCAACCTATAGAAGCGGTCAATTCATAGGGATTCTATGTTTGAGGGGGATAGAAACTCCTTGCGAGTGAGGGGGGGTTGAAGGAGAATGTCCACAAACCGGTGCCTTCCAGGCGGGATCCTGCGCGAGGGTCTTCTGCAGCCGATCCTGCACTGCCGGCATACATATGTCCACGCAGATCTGGAGGTTCTTGCGATTGGGATACGTGATTAGCGGCGCGAGGAGCGGACGCAGCCACCGCGGCAATAGGCGGATGATGATGCCTGCGCGCCCAACGCCCTCAGAATACTGGCGCGAGTGGTGCAGGAAGGCCTCATTGCGGCAGATGTCCGGGCCGGCGAAGACGCGGTTGGCCACGCGGGTGACGATCTGCGTGCATGTCTCGAATACCTTCACCTTGACCTCCGTGGACGCCGTGTGCCGCGTGCCCCAGTACTGCCGGAAGCTGCGGTCGACCTCATCCGCCATGATGGGCAGCACCAGCGGCAGCTGGCGCGTCAGCTGCCGGCGCACCAGGTCGAACTGCAGTGGCACCTGCACCGCGTGCCATCCCAGCGGGCCCTGGGTGTAGTAGTGCTGCAGTTGATCGGCATGGATGATCTCATGGTCCAGCTCTCGGTCCGATTTGGCCAGCAGCTCGCGCATGCTGCTCGGTGGCAGGACGACCCAGGGTGTCTCCGCAATGGTGGGCAGCACGAACGCCCGGCCCTGTTTGGAGTACTGTGCACGTCAGTGGGATGGGATGGAAGGTGTGAAAGAGAGGTCGAGCGAGGGGGAACCGACCAACCTTCTCATAGCCTTCCTCCAGCATCTGCCGGATGCCGCGGATGGTGCGCAGCGAGGCCCGGAATCTGGAAAACCACTCGACGCGAACGCCTACCCATGGCTGCTTCTTCCAGAACTGACGATGCTCGCGTGAGTCTGCCAGCACCAGTTGGTGAAAAAGGAGGACGACGGTGATGCCGATGGCTGCGTGCAGCAACAGTCTCGGTTCTCCCGCGAGGAGTAGTTCAGGCAGCATACTGTAGGAGCATGCACACGAAGCCTGTGTCAATTGATTGTTGCGAGAATCCAATATGTTTTGCCGGTCGTCTTTGCGACGAACACTTTAAGGGTTCGAGAGAGGGTGGGGGGAAGAGGTCCCATGCAGAGCATTATCAGCACGAGGCGATAAAAGGGCTGGCAACATCAGGGTAGTTCTTGCCAGAGTAACTGACGGCTCGACCACCGGTCTTGTTCTTGGAATTCCATGCACGAAGAGTTCTAGGCATTTTATCATTAAGCTACTGTGGTATATTCCATTGTTTCCTGTGAGCAGACAATGGTGAATTCACGCGGCGACTTGGATATATATTTTGAACTTGACTACAACTCCGGGTTCATGTAAACCATCCGAAACAAAACAAGGGGTCTGTCTTCTACGACATAGACACTACCACGATGGTATATACCAGATTCGGTACTGACAATTATTTACCAGGTCCTTAAATGGTCTGGTTCTACGAGGCCTGTAGTGGCGGGTGGTAGTTATCGCGCCCGCCAAAGGCCATTCCGAGCGACTCATGGACAGGAGAGGCAAGGAAAAGTGAGAGATGAAAGACGAAAGATAAGAATCGAAGAATGAAAAAGGCCCAAACCTAAGAGGACAAGCATTTGTCACTGCTCTGATTTCTTTTACGCCGCTTATTGCGACCTGATAACGTGCAGCAGGGTGCATGACTCAGCCCTCGACGAGCAACGCAGGCTA